TAATGCTTGTTTTCAGTAATAGAAGGAATAGAAAGAACAGATACTTGTGTGAAAATATGATGAGTAGAAGTCAGAAGTAGGATGTAAAATAAGTAATGGAGTAAAGTATAGATACCTAAAAAGTGTACTTAAGTACAGTATTTGTACTTTATTACTTGACACCTCTGCTGGTAATGCTTAAAAACTCTTCCATCCTTTTGCTGTATATATCCGCCTTTTCCTTGCAGGGTGGTTGGTTTCTTCAAAGGGCAATTTAGAGAGACTAAAAGCCATATGGGAGAACGCTGAGGTAGGGCTGAAACAATTAATCAGATTAATCGTGATCAATTGATTATTGAAATGATTGTCAACTAATAATCGATTAATCATTAAATGGAGTATAGAGACTCTGAAACATACTATTAGCTGCAACCCACTTAAGGCAGCAATTATACCAAAATTGTAAACATCTTACATTTAAGATAAAAAAAAAAACAAGATTTTGTCAACATGCTTTATCCAGAACTCCTCAAGTGGAAAAAGTTTTCACCTGGTTTAATTTAGTAAAAAGACATCTTTAAGGAACCTTTGGCTATCCGATTGCTAATTGAAAAAAATGATCGAAAGATTAACCGATTTGCAAACTAATCATTAGTTTCAGCCCTACGATGAGGTACAAAGAGAGGAGCCCTGCATAAACACACCATCATATGCAGAAATACCACAACATTTGAACCCAGGAAATCCATGCTGTGATCCAATACCCGCTGCAAACTGCTCCAGCATAAAGGCCAATCAAATAAGAGTTCTCATTTTGTTTTGTTTTTGCACCCCTGTACATTACCTTTACATATTGCTCAACTCTACATGATAACATCAAAAAGCCCCAATTAACTACCTTTCAGGGAGTACTATATTTTGAAACAGCTCTTCTGCAACTATTATACCAAACAAAAACTAAAAATGGGAAGAGTATTCCTATAGACCTTTGAAGCTAAGTTATAAAGTAATGAATTAAGTAGCGCGGCCCCTTTATTAGATGTTAAATAACCCACTAGTGTAAACGGAAGTTGAACCACTGCCAAGCCTCTGAGGTCTCTGCAGGGCAACATAAGGCTGTGTTATGTTGTGTAGTAATCCCATAATGAGATAAGGCTGGTAACATGGGAACATTTAGAGAGAAGAAGGCGACATTTTGAACTCTAATCGTGTTAATTTAACATACATTTACTGCACAAGTTGTTTTGTGTGAAATGCTTTATAAAAGCATGCATCTAGCTCTTTAATTAGTGCAGGGTAACATTTGTTAAGCACGGTGAGGGGAAACTGCTGCTTAAACTTGATACGGAACCAAAAAAGGAACTTTGTTGTTTCTAGCAAGGTAAGTAAATATGTAGCTAGCTGCACCAATTAACCAACAATATAGATACACTTATAAGGAACTATCTACAGTACAGCCCGCCTGATTTATGTTACTATTTTGTTGCTTTTCTTTTTTAACAATCCTCACCTTTTCTCTTTTATCCCAGCTGTACTGCTTCGGCGGCTCCTCGGCGTTGTTGCCAAGGGGAACCGCGTTACCTCCACTTTCGACAGTCGTTGTCGTCGGCGAGTGGTTCTCCTTTTCCGCCGACTTTCTTTTGGATTTTTTCGAGAAGAAGCACCCCATTTTGGCTTTTACAGAAGCGACCAAACAGCACGGTCACGTCAGCCCGAAAAAAAACCCTCGACAAATTATAAGGCGCGACCGACAACACCACAGTTGACAGGGTTTTTTTTTCTTCCCCGTTTTCAGCTTCCCGTTTCGCAGCTTCGTTTTCTATCCAATAGAACACCTGGTGTTGGTTGCATCAGCCAATCGTTGCCCTGGATAGAATGACGCACATACGCAAAAGAGTGAAGCGTTCACGTAAAAGATGTACAAGCTTGATTTCCGCTGCAATAACGTTCCAAAACGCGCATTTGTCAATTTATGTATATAAAATGAACACTCTACTAAATAAAATAGACCTACAATCAAAGTAAGCTAAACAAATCCAGCCTTTATGTCGTGTCCAAAAATGTTTTTCATTAACAAAATAAGAACGGTTTTCCAGATTAGCTATAGAGCTTTTTGTACTTTGACGTTTTGTAAAATCCAATTTCAAACCACATTTTATGTGTCAAAATATTTACCTTCAAACACTGGAAAAGTAAATAAATGGAATTAAACATGAATCATTAGTTAGTAAACAGGAGATATACGTTTTACTGACTACCATAAACGCATCACCAGTTCCAAGCCAGACACTCCCCTTTGGGTCCCAAATAAAAAAACACTAAATAAAAACGACAAGTGGAACAGACACTGAATGTTGATATAATGTACCAGTAGTTAAAATACTGTATTAATTATTGATTTTCGTCTTTAGTCTTATGCACACAATAAACCGGTTCTAATCTGAATGTTTCGAAACGGAATTTAAATGTAACCATGCACAACAAACCTCAAATAGCAGTTAACCATCTAACCAACCACGCATTAGATTAGCGTCCTACTTTTACCGCTAGGCTTCGCTAATAATAGGTAATCCTCATCACACCTTGCTTCCCCCTATCTTTTTGGTACTTCCCTTCTTCTTACTGAGCTCATACCCAACCACAAACAATGACATTTGACAGATTAACACAAAATAGGCCATAATTCCCCAAACCTTTCTGCTTATAAAAGAAAATGTGAGAATAACTATTGTTAAAGGAAAATATTTATCTGACAGTGAGTCGGTAAAAGACCAGCTGATTCAGTTTTCAGCTTTTACTCCCATGATCATTACTCAGACTTCCTGTATTCCTGATAGCATATTTTAAAGGTTAGTGATCAGTAACACATATATATTTCCAATATGTGGTGACATACTTGTTTGTTCTTTTTTTTTTAATTAATAGCCTACAATAACCATTTGTGTTTAGAGCAGCAGCTCATGTGGCATTGCAATTCAATAAAAACATGAAAATAGAAACCAGTCAATTGGATTGACCTGGAACTCTGTTCTTAAACATGCTCTGTATTCACCAAGGACATTTTGACTAACAGGCTAAAGTACTTTGCAAAAAAAAAAAAAAAAAAGGTGTGGCTTTCTTTTTTTTCTCACATTGCAACCACAGTGTATTCTATTTTGGTAATAGTAATATACCAAAAAGACGTTATTTACTGAGAAATGTGAGTCAATCTCACCACTCTGTATTTAAACCTCTCTCCCCTGTGCTGATCTGAAGTAGAGACTTTCAGCCATTCTTCTTTGCAAAATGGGGCAAGTTCAGAAAGCATGTGAACAAAAATTTTCAAATTTGATTATCTGGACTTAAAAACCTCATAAATATATATGCCTATGATTTGTGTTTTTCAAATAAAACTTGTCTGTATCACTTTCTTTCCTCTTAATTGTTAACCCTTTATAGGAAAAGTTACGATTTTTGATCACTTGCATACTCCTTACAAATGGAGCCCCCCCCCCATCCCTCAGTGAGGTCTAGAAGCACAATATCTATATCCAGCCATTCAGCAAAGATACTGCTACATGAGCCCTTGAATGATATATTACCTACTGTAAATTAAGTTGAAAAAAGTTAACAAGTAAAGAAAAAAGGTAAAAAGCTAATTGAAAAGTTAAAAAGGTAATAAGCCTGGTTAACAATTATATTTAGGTTTATAAACTAAAAAATATAATGGCCAGTATCAGCATTAATGCCTCTAAGGTTATGTTGTAGCAAATAAAATGTGTTTCTTTCACTCTCGGAGTGCTTTTCATTAATTTCTTATAGAAGCACTTTTGTTATTTTTCTTAATATATTCGGGGAAGTTGGTGTTTCTTGTTATTACACTGAAATTATTTTTTGGCATCAAAATATCCAGATTTTTTTTATGTTACAAAGGTAATAATATCTAGTCCTGATTCCAATAACACTATTGGCTTGAAATTTCGAATTTAAAAGTACCTATAAAGAGTTAAGAACCACTTTGTCCTGGTCTATAATCAAAATCTCAAACAGTGTAAAAGCAAAACTATGCAAGGAGTTGAAAAAAAAACCCAAACTGATTTAACATATTTTTCTTTATGACCACTAGGGTTCAGTGCAACAAAGGAAGGAAAGCTGCAACACTGACAGGAGCCCAGCAGCCTCTCAGCCTACCTCTGACACAACCGCCTAAAGCGCAGCTATGTTAAGATCACTTTTTGATGCAGGATCAGTGCATCCTAAAAGATCAGTGGTTGCATAAGAAAGGATCCAAATGACATCACTATAGCAAGGCTTCTACTGCACATGCACAACCTTAGATTTGTTTTCCCCTATTGTTGACTAGGTCCTTTCCAGAGTCTTTCTGATTTGGAGATATTATCACAAGTGGATTAAATACGTAAGGTTGCACCTGACATGAATAAAAACAAAAAAACATCAGGTTTTAACATTTCATACATCATATTCCCTGAAAGCATTGAGATGGTTCCTTTACACATGGAGGTACGTGATGCATGTCCTATTCTTCACACAAAGGCTTTATTCTTGGAGTTTAAACTAATCTGGGAACTTTATGTCTAATGTTTATGATTGGGTTTATGAGGCTGTTTAGAAATTTTCCTAATCAAGCATTTGATGTTGTTGGATAAGATGACTTGGGTCTAATTCTCCCAAAATGTGCTTTATCACTTTGGATCTCAAACTTTATCTCCTATGAAGGATTAATTTTACCCAGATACCATTAATTAGCACATATAGATGTCCCCTGCAGAGACTGGTGTATTAAATAACTAAAAGACAATCATTATAAACTTAAAGCAGCCCGGTTTTTGAATCATATATTTTTTCATAAATAAGACATTTTTGGGGCCAAAAATATAGGTCTAATATCTATATTTTTCAAACTCGAAATCAGCTTTATTACCTTTTCAAGGGCAGCAATGGGAAAAGAGCAACATTGTCTCAGTGAACAGTCTTTCTGCTTTTTCATTTTTGTGAGAAACTTGTTTGACTTTGACTGAGGATTTTTTGGCATCTTCTTTGAAGCAGCTGCTCCAATCAGGCTCTTCAGGTTCTGTCTCTTTCTATTTTGATTTCAGTCCTTGCAGAAGGAAGTATCACTAAGATATAAGGTAGAAATTGGAAGGAGCAGCTCCAAAGATTTCTCTCCCAGGCTAGAAAGTCCCATTAGACAAACACAGAAATATCCTGCTTGTACCATTATCAGTCCAGTCGTTGTAAAATTAGACTTTATTTGCTAATGTTTAAAAAAAAAAGATCTCAATTAAATAATTTCATAGTGCTTATGCATGAAGGTTATTTATCAACAATAGCCTAAGTCCCCTCTGGAGTGCCTTCAAAGGCTATAAGCAAAACTACTTACCCCATCTGAGAACCATATTGGGTTGAAGTTAAGTTTCTCCAAACTTAATTTGTTATTCAACATCTTTATGAACTTTTCATTGTGGCAGTTGGAATTTTACTCCTAAAACTAACAGTTGGGAACATGAAGTTGTCCAAAATGTCTTTGTAAGCAGCAGTTTAAAGGATTCTCTCCCCTGAAACGTAGAATAGAAAGCCCACCACTGAAGAACATTCCATTATAATCCCTTCACTTAACTTTACCTTTTATAGAGAGCAGTCAGGTTAGTAATGCTCTTCTTGTAACGGCCGCATCCAAATTCAATAAAACCCAGACATTGAAAGATACATCCTGAAACTTTGACGTTATTTTTATTTGATCAGTTTACCGGTAATGTGGTTGTATGCACATGGAGAGCATTTTACCTATATTCTACTGTGTTGATTTATTGACAAAAAAACCTAAAACAAATACAGTATAGGCCAAATTCAGTCCAATTACCATCCTCCTGAACTAGGGGTGCACTTGTCAAAAATGCTCAGTAAAGCAGCCCGCTGACTGGACTTACTGCTCAGATGTTCATGAACCAGTCCCAGTAAATACAAATCCTCTCCTTTTTTTTTTTTAAACTTTGTTTATTTAACATTTTGAACATAAGACAGACATTGTTGGGGCAAATTCAAAGTGTCAATACAATCTCAATATCACAGTTCTGTCAATCCCCGATCCACCCTGACCGCCCACCCCACCCAGAGGCCAAAAAATAAATAAATAAACAAATAAACAAATGGAAAAAAAGTATAAATAAATAAAAAGTATAAAGAGAAAAACAGACCAAAAAGGGTAGACATGAATGTAAATGTAGATAGATAAGTAGACATCATGTTAGACATTCAAGTATCCTCAGGGTCATGAAGATTCAAAGAGTCAAAATATCTAAGAAAAGGGTCCCATGTAGCCTGAAATAACTTAATGGAGCCTCTAAGAGAAAACCTCAATTTCTCTACTTTGAGGTTGTAAAGCACCTCTCGAATCCAGCGGCCATGCGAAGGGGGTTGAGAATCTTTCCAGTTAAGTAAGATCAACCTACGAGCTCAAAGCGTGGTAAATGCTATAGCCCGCTTCATTCCTTTAGGCAAGTTAGAAGTAAGGGGGATGTCAAAGATTGCAGACATTGGATTGGAGACAACCAGAGAACCATATGCTTCAGACAGTGATTTAAAAAGAGGTTCATTGGTTCCTACTGAATGTTTCAACCTTTACTTAAAACTGCAAAAGTATAGCTGGATCACTTTCAATGTGTGCCATTAGCTACTGATCTTTCAGGCAGAGGGTTTAATTAACTTTTCACTGGAAAGGGTGAGCTAAAGGAAAAGAATCAAAACAAAATGTAGCCCCAAAACTGTGGTAGAATTTATTAAGAAATAAAAAAATCAACAACAACATTAAAATGGTTATTTTGTTTGTTAATTTAAATTCATTGATAGCAGCAATAAGGCTCTTTGCACAGGAAATCATCGACAGGTGGGAGTACAAGCGCTAGCAGTTATGTCAGCTGCGCCCCAAGAATATGTTCCACTTTGAAGGAAATAAAGAAATATCAGTAAAATTGTATTTTATCCTTTTTGAAAGCATCTGGACAACAATTAAGCAACTTCAGATTCAAACCTCAAATGCCTAGACTGCACAAACCTGATATGGACTATATTGCTCTGAGATATATATATATATATATATATATATATATATATATATGTGTGTGTCTGTATCTATATATTTTGTTTAAAAATTAGTTTTTGCTTATTGTGACTCTACACGATGAACTATGTTATGATTATGAATAAGCCCTAAATAGAAACATGTCATATTTAGTCTGAAAATATAGTTCGAAGGTCATATAAAAAGTTTGAATTCATGAAGAATTTCTAAAAATATTTGTGTTTTTAAAAAATCGACTAACAAACATCTCCTCTCAGCACTTTTAAATGTTTGACACAGCATCAGATCTACAAGGTGAAGCTTATCCGGGGCAATAGTTTAAGCAAATTTCTCCACCAAATGCTTCCATTTCCAACTGAAATCAAATCAGTGTCCACTTTTGAAAACGACCATCAATCCAGACCTTGCTTGATATTTATTGGTCACGCATACACTATGAATTATGGCAACAACGAGGGCTTTGGCTTTTCAAAATAAAAATGAAAAGTTTAACATTTAAAAACTAGAATAAGTTATGATTTATATTCCTTCTGGTCTAAAATTGTTTCTTATGAGCTCATGTGAATATGGATATATGAAAATCATTTTAATATTTCTCTTTTTTTTTGGTTACTATTTTACATGGCTAATTTAATGCACCTTATTTTGGAATGCCCATTTATTTTAACTAAAAACATTTTTCCAGTTACTCATTTCACATCAGGGTAAAAGTACAAGACTCTTAGACATGTCTCACAAAATATAATCAAGATCTGAGGTAGAATTTCAAAATCAAAGCACCTCAAAATGTGTAAAATTGGTTACTTTTAGCTAAATTGCTGTCAATATTGCTAATAAATAAATAAAACAACAACAACAAAAAAACAAAAACAAATTTGATTTCAGTTTAGGGAAAACGTAGAACAACCTTAGATAGTCCTCACAATATATTATCAAAATCTGATGCCAAATTACAAAATTAAAACCTCTCAAAATGTGTAAACTGGCCACTACCTACGTTGCTGTCAACACTGCCAAGAAACTCTGTGCTTCCAATTACTAATTTTAGTTCAGAGTGACAGCAGGGCATCCCTGGATGCTTCTCACCAAATATGATCAAGATCTGATGTGGAAAATTAAAGCCCCTCACACAGGTGGGGGGCTAGGTGTGGCCATGGCCAGCCTTAGCCAATCATTTGCCACCCCTGTGGCCACCCCTACCATTTCTTCCCTCTAATACAGACGGCGGCAGCAGTAATACTCCTAAGTGGAATGTTTAATCCATTAATTTAGATATAAGAACATGTAAATACAAATTTTATGCAGAACAATTGTTTATAAAAGTATGTTAGTAATGACAATGAATAAGATTTTCACACCAGAACTCAAACCTGAAAGAATTTTGTCCACTACACCTTTAATTCAGACAGCATGGATGTTAAGATATTTGCAAACATTTGTTAGCAAAGGCTGTAGGAAAGTATATTTAGTGTTTATTTAGAAAATATAGTTCTGCTGGTTAATTTTCCAGTTGGAACAGTGTAAATTGGCCCTGAGGTTCTGGCACCTATCCCCTTTCTGCCACCCCTCAGTGTACATTGGTTATTGCCTGGCAACCCTTATTATAGTGTTCTGGCTAAGCCTCTGCTCTCACAATATGTAAAATTGGTCCCTTTTATCTTAGTTGCTATTATAGCTCAGAAAATCTGTTTTCATGTCAGGGTGAAAGTAGAACACCCTTAGATAAGCTGAAGTGAAATCAGTAACTGGAAACAGATTTTCTGAACAATACTGACAGCAATTTAGAAAAAAAAAAAAAAAAACAACAACAACACGAGGCTTTGATTTTGAAATTCCTCATCAGATCTTGCAGATATTTAGTTAGAAGCATCTAAGGGTGTTGTACTTTCACTCTGAAGTGAAATCAGTAACTGGAAATAAAACAATTAAAAAAAAAACTTAGGTAAATACATGGGCATTCTTAAGTTAACCATGAAAAACACTTAATAAAAAGAAATAGCAAATTCTCATATACCCATTATTTTGAACCAGAGGGAACGAACCAATGTTCTTGGTTTTATTTTGAAAAGCCCGAACCAGCTTTACTACCGTATTTCATAGTGTGTGCGTGACCGCTAAAAAGCCCATAAGAGCTGGCTGTTTCCGAAGAGGAGGTTGTTATGAACTGAACCAATAAATAAGGAGTATTTGAACCCCCCCTCCCATCTGACCGGATCATCCCAACAGGATATCTGCTTCAACTTCTCGTTTGTGCAGCAACGGTTAAAATTTCCTGTTTTCAAGAGGAGTGACCTCCGAATTGCACAATCATCAAAATCTCAGAGCAGTGACTCAGTAGCTTTGCAGATTGCTGGCTGGATGACTTTATGTGCAGGTGGTCTGTTCTTCACATAGAGGACCCCCCCTCCGTGCGCTGTTGTTCCTTTAAAAGGTTGAACTCCTGCTCGGCGTCTCCTCTGCGCTCAGCTGTGCGCGCGCTCTTCTCCCAGCTGTGACATGGCAAACGGGCTGCGTGCGCTCTCAGCGGTGTCATCCTAAAAACATGGAGGCTCTCCGGGACGCAGCCTGTGCGGCTCGGGGCTCGATGATGATGATGATGCTGGTTTGGATCCTCCTGAACGCGGCGGCAGGACTCAGCGCGGAGGAGCGCGGAATGGTGGAAGAACTTGGAACGGAGAAGGAGGCGGAGGAAAGTCACCGACAGGACAGCGTCAATCTGCTGACATTCATTTCGCTGCTGACTCTCACCATTCTCACCATTTGGCTCTTCAAGCACAGGCGGGTTCGCTTCCTTCACGAAACCGGGCTGGCAATGATTTACGGTGAGGCTGCTGAAAATGGCACGCACACAATCACTGGCTCTCCTCAGCTCCACAAGCCTCCCACAGGCTGTGCATGATTCAGTCTCCCTGATGAGGAGATGTAAGGGCATCAGAGGTCTGAGCGAACATGCACACGCACTTAACTAGTCTGTAATTGGTTCTCCTTGTACTAATTTCTAGAAGATGCTCTCAGCTGCTCAGTCAGCCACAGCACTGCTGCACAGCCATAATTCAATGCACTTAATGCATGCTGTATCACCAGGATTGAATTTAAGATATGAGCTCAGGGCTAGAGTTGCTATTACTCTGCCTGCACAGGTTTCTACAGACATGCAAATGAAAATGGGTCAAATGCCAGGTATGCATGCATCAAGTAACTTTGTTTCGCTTTGCGCCTTGTCTGCATGACCATGGGTTTTCAGAAACAATCTTTGTATCTGAGTAAATACTTATGTTTCTTGACATTTTAACATTTTTGAAAGGTCTTCATGATGACAGGCCTGAAATGTAGCAAAGTAACATCAGGGAAATGCATATTCATACAAAAAGGAAAACTGTGAGAAACATGCAGCTTGAAGCTTGTGGTCAAGACCACATGAATGGGTCATGACCTCACTTTTAAAAACTAGATGAATAGGTGATAGGATGTCTTACACTTATTCCCCTTCATTTATAAAACACTGATATTATTTTTGGGCCCTGCAAACCTTTGTATCAAAGATGATAGTGTTATGAATTGGATCATAGATTCAAGGCACCTTAATGTTTGATATAAGGTTTATTCATCAGCCGATATTTCCCTATATTATCCACATTTTATTTTCTATGTTCTACAAATCCAAGATAACCATTAAACGATTGCAACATAGAAATAATGTAAGTAAATTATAATTTAGCAGATCAAAAATATTATATGCATTTCACACTAGGAATGGGCAAAGAGAAGTTTACGTTAATTTCAGTTTATTTTTACAGTATAGCACCAAATCACAGCACATGTCATCTCAAGCTACTTTACAGAGACAATTCAGTCAGATTGGTTTAAAGTTTTCTATCTAAAGAAA